TGCCTCTCCAAGATTATCTCCAGAAAAAAGATTTTCTAGTATAAAAAATGATGCTTACAAATTATCTACGAAACACAATAAAAAAAAACGGACTAGCCTAAATAAACATTCATAACATATATATTTGGATTTTAAACATAGTTTAATCATTATTTAAACAAACTGAAAATTATTTGATAACCATATCTTTATTTTATTTTTCATTACATTCTACTCCAGGTTCTCAGCTGGCTATGATTTTGGGATGGGGGTGTGCGAAGGATTTTTTCCATTCGAAATGGGGTGGGGGGGGGGGGCAATGGGATGCATCATGTACCGGGTTCCACACATAGAGGTTTCTCCCTTACATATAAATCATCAAAAATATTCTTTGAAAACATTTCTGCTGGTTGCAACCAATAACTACATACCTAAAGACTTTTAAAATTCTGGATTGTAAAAGTCGAGACAAATAAAAGTTAGTATTTTAATCTAGTTACCATATTTTTTAAAAATGTGTTTATTTTATAAACAGGCTATCCAAGAATTACACAATGAAGTGCGCAGTTTCGGACAATCGCTGCAAAACTCATTTGACAAGTTCAAACCTGCGCCATCAAAGCCCGATCAGGAAAAAGCTAATCCAAACTTGGTACCACCTGACGTACCACGTGACATCAATAAACCAACCAACAAAACCTTTGTGGGCAACGAGCTACGCAAAGACTCACACACTTTTCAAAGAGCCGTTACGACTAACGCCATGGAACTAATGGACTGGAACGACTACGAACTAATGGCCAGGGATGCTGAAAGACAAGGTCCTGGGGAACATGGTCGAGGCTTCACTCAAAATTTGACAGCTGAAGAACTAAAAATTGTGGCAAGTCTAAAAGAAAGATACAAATACAACGCCTACGCTAGCGATCATATATCTTTGGAAAGAAGTTTGAACGATAGCAGGACAGAGGTCTGCAAGAAAAAACTGTACCTTAAAAACTTGCCAGAAAATTCTGTCAGTTTTGTGACGATATTCCACAACGAAAGAAACTCTACTTTACTGAGGACTATCCATGGTATAGTCAACAGATCGCCAAAAAATCTTTTGCGTGAAATTGTTGTGGTGGATGATTTTAGCACAAACGAAGAACTGAAAGCACCTCTTGAAGAATATATTGCCCAACATTTCAAAAAAGTCAGAATTATACGAAATAAACAAAGGGAAGGATTAATACGAAGTCGAATTATAGGTGCCAACCAAACCACTGGAAGTTTTCTGGTTTTCCTCGATGCTCATGTGGAAGTCAATGTCAACTTTTTACCGCCTCTCATTGAGCCGATGGTATTGGATTATAGAACCATAGTTTGTCCAATGGTAGACAACACAGTGGATGAAACTTTAGAAGTTCGTGGGCTTATCTACAGAGAACGAGGGGCTTTTGATTGGGCTTTGGTATATCACAGACTTCCTGTACATCAAGCAGACGAGTCTATCCCGCATAACGTCACGTCCATGATCGGGTGCGCCATGGCCATCTCACGCAGGTGGTGGGAAGAGATCGGTATGTTTGACCCTGGTCTTGAGATCTGGGGAGGGGAACAGTTCGAAATCTCTTTTAAGTCCTGGATGTGTGGCGGGCGGGTTGTGGACGCCCCTTGTTCACGTGTTGCACATGTTTTTAGAAGCCTTCCGTACGTACAGCAGCTACTCAACACTAAAGTGGATCAAAGAAATCTCTTACGCGTCGCTTTAGTTTGGATGGATGAATACAAGGAATATTTCTTCCAGAGAAGACCTGCGCTAAAAACTGTAGATCCTGGAAATTTGACAAGTCAATATGAACTGCGAAAAAGACTAAACTGCAAATCATTTGACTGGTTTATGAAAGAGGTTGCCCCTGATATCCCCAAATACTTTCCACTTGTAGAGCCACTTCTAATGGCCTGGGGCAAAATTAAAAGCGTTCGGAATAACTCTTTGTGCATTTCCGGAGAGACTCAGTCATTATCAGTGGTGGAGTGCAGTCACAGAAACGCCAGTACCTTCATGTACAACTGGCGACTCCAAGTGAGGAGATACGATAAATGCTTCTGCAACGCATGGGGCAACCAAATCGTCATGTGGGGCTGTTTTATTTTTGAAGAGAAACCCACTGAGCTGTTTCTCTGGGATAGAGCTTCTGGTCTGATTGTCAACGGACACACCAAAATGTGCGTTGATTTTCAATTCAGTACATTTCAATTGCAAACATCACCATGCAATAAAACCTCATCGACTCAATCTTGGACTTTTGAATCGTACAACGCAACATCTGTAGATTCAACCTGGGAGACACATAAACATTTACTCAACATGACATTGACATAATTAAGTTATTTAGGTATCTATTTTGTATAGAATTTGTATTGGAAGCAATAATGATGAATACACAATATTTTTGTCTAATGCTGTAATCAATCTCACATCTTGGATTTGGACTCGAAAGCCTGGAGCTTGAATCTTTGTAGCTTCGAACATGCGAAGTTTGAATCAAGATGACGTCCACATTACCTTGACCTTTAGAACTACTGCAAAAAGTCGTTGTTTTTTTTTTTTGGTCCTAAAAATACGATATTTTATATAGGTAGTAGCTGTACAACTGATGATTGGCTGAAAAGTTTGATCAACGACGCCATTAAGTTCAGTTTTTAGTTTACTTTTTTTTTTCCTCTAGTAAAGATTTCTCCCCGGATGAACGTATAAATGTCTGATATCCATAATTTTAACACTTAAAGGGAGATTTAGACTGACTAGTGTTATGTAGCATAACCGAAATATGGACTATAGACTCAATCAGGCCAAAAGAAACATAATCAAAATGTAATTTGCCATTTATTATTATTTTTTTAAGTTATTAAAATTATTATTTGATGAAAAAAAAAAAAGTTGTGTCAAAAGTTAGTCGGTAACTCAAGTAGAGGCATGTTCAATGAAACAAAAAGGAAAAGAGGTCGACATATTTACTAAACTTTGTTTTTATTGATATACTTCAAATATTCGGACAATAAACAAGCCGAAAGCTCTAACATAATAGTGTGGCTGGTAAGCTAAGTTGTTAGAGCGTTGCGTTAATAAAGCGAAAGGCGTGGGTTCGAGTCCTTTTGTTTCTAATGATAAAATATGAATGTTTAATTTATTTCAGCATTTAAACATAAAGTTGGAATTGATGTTTTTTGTTTTAAATTGTATTTTACTGGTTTCGATAGTTTCTTTTTTATTTTATTACTGTTTAAAGTGGTTAAGTTTGAAGGAAGCCTTGTATTGACATCAGCCACAGAGGAGGTGACTACTTAGTTGTTAGTTTAAAGTGGTTAAGTTTGAAGGAAGCCTTGTATTGACATCAGCCACAGAGGAGGTGACTACTTAGTTGTTTGTTTAATGTGGTTAAGTTTGAAGGAAACCTTGTATTGACATCAGCCACAGTGGAGGTGACTACTTAGTTGTTTGTTTGTATGGATGTCTTTAGTTCTGGTAGTTCCATGGTTGAGTCCAGATGGTAGTACATTTGAACGGTGTTTTCTTGGATAGATGTTATTAAATGATTTGTTGTCTAGGTTAATTTCTTCATTATAAAATAGACAAATAAAGCTTGAAACCTTTTAACTTAGTTTGTAGCCATTTGTTTCTAATTTCCAGCAGCTCAATGAAAAATAGGGAAACTTATTAAAATTTTGGTTTCAATGATTTGATGCCTTAGTATCTGAGTACAACTTACTAGTAACTATACTGTGCTATATGCTATACTGGAATAAGTGTTACATACTTTTGTATTACTTGCATTTAAGACCAAACTCATTTCTTAAACATTTTTTACAACTGTGGAATACATTGGAGGCTCTTATAATGTATTGAGTGATCAATGTTATTGACATGGCTTATTTATATTTAATGCATTGATGAATAAGTACAGAGGTAAGTTGACAAAAAAAAAGGGGGGGGGGGGGGGATATTGTGAGCGGAGTAGATCAAAGGGCCACTAGAAGAATAAAGTGAGTATTTACACAACAGAGTTTGGTTTGTTCTAGTCAAACTATGACAACGATCACACAAAAACTCTCTGTATTTAAGCAGTCACCGAAACAATCCTGTCAGCACTGAAAAAAAAAAAATCAGAGGAAAAAAATGCCTATGTAAAGGGGAAGCACTCAGTCCTTAAAACTAGATCTGTCCAAGTACCAATACTATAACAGCTATTCCCCTTATTCAATATAAAACAAAAGAAGTAATTACCAATAATGAATTAATGGAGTTTTTTTTTGTTTTTGTTATTTTGTTAAAAGAAATAATTGTTTAAAGTTTCAGCTTGATCGGAGAATACTTGAGAATATGGTTAAATTTATCTAAGGGAACTAAACCCAACAAATTTAGCCATATGTGCAAATACCAGTACTGAAGAATTAATTTCCCTTGTTGCTAATTATAAAAAATAATTAATTACCAGTAATTGTCTAATCGGCTTTTTTTTTTTAAATTATCGATTCAAGTCTTGTCTATGCAAAGTTTCAGCTTGATCAGAGAATAGGTGTGAGAGAAATAAAATGTACACACTTTTTACCAGACAGAATGAGTTGATATAAGCTTTGTAAAATGCATTTATTCTGAGCTTCACATTTGCCGAGACTAAATCCGAGACATACAAACCATAGTATAGATAGCAATGTTCAGAATATTTACCTGATGCACAGTTTGTCATTGAAAAGACAAAATTGATCAGAATAAATTGAACTACACCTTGCCCACTAATACCACTAGTTAATAACTTAATATTAGATTAATTACTAATTGATTTTTTTTTTTTACACAGACATACAAAAGGAGACTATTTTCTTAGTTCCATTCGCTTTAGTGAGATTGCATTTTGTAGTTCCAGAAACAATGCAAAGAATAACAATCCAGGTGAGATGCTTGTCTCATAACAACTGAGATTTACTCAACATTTGACAGACACCCAACATTCAGACCTGTGCACAAGAAAACTCTTTGACTTAGTCAAACATTGTATTCATTAGTCAAACATTTTGTGTCAAAGGTCACAACTATTTTAAAACCACAGAAGAAAAAAATATTAAAAAGCTACAAATATATATATATATAATATATAAAAATCAAGTTAGAACCATACACAAATTTATAACAATCAAAATATACATGTATTGTATTGGCTGACACAATAAACAAACTGTTATGCTCAGGCAGTCATTGTATTGAAACAAAATAATTTTTATCCCAATACTGGTAGTACAGATTTCTATATTTAGCAATATGGCTTCTAAACTTGTGTACATCTTGACACCAAACAAAATTATAAAAAAGCATTCATTCCAAGCTCACATTTGACCTGAGACTTGTTTAAAATCCAAGAGGAAAAAACAATAATCACTAGTAGCAATGTTCACAGTATTTACCTGGTCTCTGTACGAGTTTTGTCGTTAAATAGACAGACTCAATAATACTAGAATAAATCATGGTGTAGGGTGCAGCCAATGTCCTGTTTTTTTTCAATCAATCAAATATGCCAGAATATTGCATGTAGTAGTGTTTTCCTCTAATTCTCCCAGTTTACAAGCACTAAACTTGTGGACCATGAAGAGGCATGATAAATGATGAGTCAATCTCAGATGATTTAAATGCTTTTGTTTTATATGGCAACAGAAGAGGGAGGGGAGAGAAAGGCATGTGATGTTTCAGTGTGGGAAGAGAGAACACAAATGATTCAACAATTGTTACAATGTAGATGTGCTTCCAATTATCTAGTTTGAAAAGTTGTCAGTTTTCTACTATTTATTACATTTCAAACATCTCATGCAAAAAGTTATTTTCATTGCCAGTTTTGAATGAAACACTTTTTTTAAAGACATTTTTTTGTTTTGATCACAGAATTAAGTTTTTGTGTTAGGTACATATAATGCAACACATCTTGGAAACAAATGTTGCCAGTTTATTAGTCACTGAGCAAAAAGAAAAGTATATTTTGTGATAACTTTTTTGTTTTCTATTTTCATAACAGTACATAACAGCATCTTGAACACTAACACATGGAGCTATATCTCAATACAGTTCTTACAAACTATGTTTTTTGAAACATTTGTACAGACCATTAATTTCATGTTTTTATATTAAACCATTTAAACTATAGGAAAAGTAACAGAACAGATAACCTGCAGGTTTCTATATTTAAATGTCCCTGAATAGTGACTTAAAACTAAACCAGATTCTCAGTTCTGGTGTTCATTCAAAATGTTCATGACTTGTAAACACACCTACTTGCAACAAAAACAAAATTTAAAAGGCAGGTGAGAACTTCATATGCCTTAAACAAAAATTAGCATGAATAACATTGATCAGAGTTTTATCAAACCGGAGAAACAATTTTCTATATGTTAAATGTCAACAGTTGAAACAAATATCTAAAGCTCTATGTCCACCACTGCTATCCATAGTTCATCATATCTGTTGTGGGACTATTGCTGGGGGCTTTCAATGAATCATTTATATCTCGTCTGAAGACTGACAAGTTTTGTGTAAACCTGAAGAGATCAAAAACAAAGTCAAATAAAATGTGAAATATATATCTATAATATATTTATATGGCTCCATCTGTCTGGAAAGACAACGGATGCACCCAGATGAGTTACTAGTTTTAATTTAGTCTTGAGGTGGGGCAGAATTTATCTCTCTCTATCTGTATATATAGAGTCAGTGACTAACAAAAAAAAATGTTTTGAAACATCCATTTCCATCACCTTTTTCAATTCTCTGCAGAACTAAAATCTGGCTTTTGTTTATACAAGTCTTTGCTTTCTTCAAATTATTTTTTTCTGTGACTGGTTAGCAGCCCATGAGAACCTTAAGTAATTCTTTGCCTCTCTATATATAAAAAAATCAAGCCACTATCAAATTACACGGTCTATATTCAGTAATTTTGTTTTTAGCCATACAATTAATTTGATCCATGATGCAGAAGTACAATTTAGTAATTAATTTGAAGGAACGCTTCATTTTCAGTTTCATTCAGGACAGGTGAGGCCTAAAAAAGATTACTAATTACTTCATATTTAAGAAAATTACACCTCTTTCTACTGACCAAAAAATGCCCATGACCTTGACTAAGTGCCCACAAAACTACATGTTTACTAAGCCCAAGTTAATGATAATCAATACTAGCCTATTTTATACCAGCAATGGCCAGAACTATAATACCAATAACATGAAAAATGGGACATCCACAAATTCTCATGTAGTGATGAATTTAATAAAACAAGTGAAGTAAAACTAAACATACTCTCTGTAGTGCTGCTTGTAAAGAAACCTAGATCTTGTTTAAAAAAAAAGTCATCTTCTCTAAAGCAAACGTTTTTCTATTACCTAAAGGTAAGTATTATTGCCTTTTGCTGTTGACTGCATCAAATCTCTTTTCTCGTGCTACTCTCCTCCATGTTATGGACCAAGTGTTTATAGACTGCTGTAATAGTTCTATTTTTAGAAACTGAATAGGAAATGATGACTGATGAAAGGAGACTAAATGGCAATAGCAAGTAGTTTCTTATGTTTCAATTTGTGTTTTAAATAGTCTTACGCTGATAGATATTTGTGCATTCTGCATAAAAAGAGTTATTTTGTTGTAAAGGAGAATGTCAAACTTTAATTCAAAAGTGTGTCATTCTAAATTATGCATTTGCCTAAATGGGATATTGGATTTGCAATCTAGAAGTACTGTCAGCTAGATCACCACCATACTCAAAAGTACCCCAATGTGGACATTCTTTGACAGTCTGTTCAGTCCTGCACAGGCAGACACATTGTCTTCCAAAGAAAACATCTACTATATAAACCAAGAAATCTGTTTTTTACTTCAACTCATATTAGCTTACAGTTTTTACATTGACCATTCATCACCTGAGATTTTTTAAATATATTTTTTGTAATCTTAATTGAACTGTAGTTAAAATCTCTTTTTGAATTGTCTGGTACTCAATAGAGATGAGATTAAATGTTTAGGGCTTAAATGTCAGGGGTTCAGTTTTAAAAAATTGCAATAGAGAGTAATCAACCTCCTAATAGAAAATTATTTTTGATACATCAGAAAAAAAACAACAAGGTTACAAAGACAGTTTGTGTAAACACACACAAAAACTCAAAATCTGCACCGAAGTGGTCCACCCAGGCAGGTAAAAAGGCGGGTATCAATATTTTCAGAAAGAACATCAGAATGAAATTCTATCAGAGACAAATGACAAATGACAGAGATGAATGGAGAAAGAAGGTTAACAGATCTTGTGTGGTGCCCCAGCGGTCCAGCATACCAAAGGATAGGTGAAAGTGAATGTGAAGTTAAATGTGAAGTTAAATGTGAACCTGGCCTTACTGATGTCTTATAATGAATGTCTAATTGTTTTGTAAAGGGTCAATCTCTTATTCAAATCTTCAAGAAAAATATAAAAAAAACTGTAAAAAAATTTTTTTTATAAAATCCCTTAAGTGGAGTGCTTTTTGCATTTCACAAGATAATTAATTGTTGTTTTAAATTATGTCCAACTTATATGCATACTAAATAGATTTTTCTCTTTAAAAAAGTAAACATTATTTTTGGGTAAATGTAATAGTTAGTAGGACAGAACTTACATAACATAGCAATACAAATGTAAAAAAAAATAATAAAATTTTCACAAAAAAAATCTAAGACCATTTGCATAAATGTGTTAAAAATATGGCAAATAGCTATCTCCCCTACTAAAGAGCTTCCAGTGTTTGTTACTATTAATAGTGAATATTTGTAAAAAATGGTGTATTTTTATGAATAAAATGCTTGCATAAGTGATTTAAAAAATTAGATTTTTTACATTTTTAGAAAAGAAAAAAGTAGCCGCTGCATCAAAACTTTATATGGACTAAAATATTATGATGTCAGATTTTCACTATCTTTTCTAGTTTATGAGATCTAAACGGGATGGACGGACAGACATTTCACACAAAACTAATAGCATCTTTTCCCCTTTCGGGAGCTGCTAAAAATCAACTATTTACCGATCTCTGTTTTTAGCTAAAAGAGAATGTTCCACCCCATCCATCAAGTTTTGAAAGCAGTTAGCCATGGCTTCCTGTTTTTCTGCTGGTTGACTTGAAATTATGTTGTTTCTTAATTTGTTAAAATGCTGAAAAAAAATCAACAGAATAATATTGATTAACAAAATGTTTAAAAAATTCACTGTGAATGCTCTAAAAATGTTTCAAACATATCAAAGTATATTATTCTAAGTTTATGTGTAGATAGATTTTTGAGTAAAGACTCACCTCTTCATTTAGAAGTATAAGACCTAACAAAGGGCGAGACATTGACCACTGGTTTCTACAATCTTCAAACATGATGATATTTAATACTGTTGAGAGCATCTAAAAAAAAAGTACAAGAAATGTTATAAGAAAAAAATGAAAACAAAACTTTTGAAATTAATGTCAAAGTAAAAGTATGACTATTAAAACTGGAAAGTGTTCATTTTGTGGAACCATTTAGTTGCATTATAAATCTTTAAAAAACCTATGTTTAGTCTGAGTTGAACTCCTAGTCAGCTCATAATTTAATTTCAAACTCAAGTGTTGCACAACCTACTTGTTGCAAAATTTCTGGATGGAGTTCAAGTATACAGAGGAATGCTTCACTATCTGGAACTTGGTTGGGCGTTTGTTTCTTTTTGTTGATCAGCCGTCTGAACAGGTAAGTAATGATGTTATCTAGAGTCGCACAGCAGCCAGTGCACACCATCGTATCTGGAGGCAATACAAAACAATTTATACAAATTAAAATCAAACTAAACTGCACAATCTACTCAGTGGGCATAATGTTAAATATGTCCACTATGAAATAAGCACAGGCACTAATTAAAGGGCAAAATTTATTTTGTTATTTTGAAATAACTAATCCTTTTGTACAAAGTGAGGGAGAAGGAGAGTTAGGTCTGTGAAAGATAAAAGCTAAGACTTACCCAGTGCTGTGAGACCTTCACTGATAGATGAGAGTAAATAGAGGAACACTTGAGGTTCTAGATTGCTAATAAATGACATATGATCCTGGGCCAAACACTCCAATAGACCATAATAGTTTTGACTAAGTTTTGGATAATCCTGAAAAAAAAAAGGAGATTTATAATAAATCAGAATTATAATATTAATTTACATTTCAGCATGGGATGTGGTGGATGGTAAAGAAACTTGTGCCAATGGTTGTGGGTACTAATTAACCTGAACACTGAAACTTGTACTTTAGGCCACTCAACTTGTCAGATGACACCATAGACTCCTAATTATACATATTAAAGCCACAATAAATTATTAATTACAATGGAAAATAAAAAAAGATCCAATATGCCTCACCAACAAATCACTCTGAGGGACAGAGAGAAGCAGCTTCACAAACATGGACAACACATCATCAAGAGCGCAATCTCCGTAGAGTCGAAAGACACCAAAGTTAACATAGTTTCCACAAAGAGCTGCCTTCAGCATTGAGAAACAAATTGAGATCCCCTTCAGCTTAACCAGTGTTAAGGAAATTGACCCATTCTCTCATACAAAAAGAACTTAAAGAGGATGTAACAGTGACATAACTTTGGACAGCTCACTATGTAGTTAAATTCTTGAAATTCAATTTATTTGTACAGTATATGTAAAATATCTAAAAGTGACAAAAAATATAACCAGTAATATAATAAGCGAAATTGCTACAAGAAAAAAACCAACATAAAGATATCATAAGTTTGAATAATACATTTAAAAAAAAAAAAAAAAAAGAAAGAAAAAACAAAACCAATGAAAAAGGATATTTCAATGGGTATAATCTGTCTTTAGGAATGTCACCAATAGTAAGTATTCTAGACCCTATGGGTAAAAACATGATCTGATTTCAAACAATTTTTTTAGGTAAACAAAACAAAAGTAATTATTTTAATTTATCTGACAAAAGTAAGTGTATTTTGG